CGAAACTATACTTACCATCATATCGAGACGGTTGTGGGGACACTGTGCCTCGCGGATGCAGACTCGTGCGTTTGCAGCTTGGGACATAGGCGAGTTCCAGACCCCGAATACAATAAATGCGTGCTTGAACTGAACAAATGCCGTTTGTTAGAATGTTGATTGGGCTTCAAGAGATCCGGACACTAGCAGGATGTACTGTATCATGTAAGTACACGTTGAAAAGGCAAGGCAAGAAAGATTGACGTTAACGTTATAAGTTAGCGATATCGATTGGTGGGCGCGCGTGCTGAGTATTCAATATATTTGCGGGAGAATTGTGGGTACACAGAGATACGCGAGTCTACGACTCTTTTGTTTTGTTTTTTGCCGGCAACACGCGACTGGACGCGACTGTCCGGCGTACGCGTACGCGAGCCAGAGAATGTATCGAGGAGGTCAACGCCGAAGGGGCTCAAACGCAGGCGCCTATACGTTCCATCATTCCTCCGGGTATGCTTGAGGCCGGAGTGAAACGCGCAGGATGCAGGACACGATGCGTCGGGCTGTCGGACGTCGACAGCGGCGCCGGTTTGGATGCGGACGGACTTCGGTGGTGGTGGGAGTCGAGAGCAAAGAACGGCATCACTCGGGCCGAATTCCGATCAGTGGCGTCGAGCTCGTGTCTACATGCCGTCACACGGCGTACACAGCTGTACACAGTCGCGCCACGTCGCGGTGGTTCCGTCTTGATTCCGTCAACACACGTTTGCTACTCCGATGTCGCGCCCCGTCACTCCTCAAACCGCCACATGTCTTTGAATAGGAGCTGGCAGAACATTTTACTCCCTCAGGTAGATACGATGCGAACGACCGGGCGCGGGGGAATCGGAGAAGTTTAGCTGCGTTCATCGTGGTATAATTATCGCTGTACTCATGACTCTATCCATATCTACACTAGTACTGCAACGTGGTCTACTCGGAATAAAAACAGTTTTTTCAACCAGCCGATCATGGTTGTGCGCCAGTACTGGCTATAACTCTTCGGTGACTGGCCATGAATACAATGCAAAGAGAAATTAAGGCTCAAGCGTGGGCTACACATTTTTCTACGAAATGGGCACAAGCGGACACTCGAACACATCCTAACTAGGCAGGGACGAGGCTTAGGCAGGGACCCGAACAGACTCGCAGGCACTCATCTCGTTCTCCTGCTCCTTTTATCCCGTGAGTAATAACAGTGTTCGATTTCAACGGACACAAAGGGCCTGGAACGCCCACTGAACAGATTCGCCGAAAAATGCTCACGTTAGTGTGCGCCTTTAATTTTCCATCCAACTGGTGCGCATCAACTAACATTTTACGTTAGCCATCGATAAGAATCATTGGACATTTATCCACTTATTTTATTTTAACCAGAACTGGCTTTTCGGATTTTGCCGGGCATCAACGTTCTCGGGTTTTACCGCCGATCTTGCGAGAAATCGCTTTGACCGCTGTCACGATCATGTGACTGTGATAGCTTCGTTCTCCTCCCCACACAACCCGCTTAGCGCGTTGAATATCGACGATGCACATCACTATCCTCATCGCCCTTTTATCTCTCACTCATCTCAACCTTGGCTACGCGCACACCACTCTCGAAACATGCGAGGAATACCACGTAACCTTCGACGGCTCCGAGTTGGCTTCTGAATCCTTCGATTCCCATTTCATTACCATCAGCCCTGCCAAATCCTATGCCCTCACGAATAACGGCCTCGAAATATATCTTCACAAGCCGGAGGGCCATGTTACCACCTCGAACGGCACTAACGACAAGCTCGGCGACGGGGCGACGATTCATTCGACTTTCACTCTCTTGTGTGTCCTATGTATCTTTATCTATCCAAGCTAATTGTAATTCACTTAGTCATGGAAAAGTGACCTTCAAGATTGAATCTCCCGCCCTCCCTGGCGCGATTGTTGCTGTAATTCTGATAGGTAAGTATCGAACTCGCTGTGGTCTATCAATACAACTTTCCTCCTAGGCGATACATCGAATGACGAGATAGATATCGAGTACATCTGCAGCGAGCCGCATACATGGCAAACCAACGTTTTCGTCACTGACCCCCGAGAGCCTGAGCCGGAGTACGGCGTCTTCAGCACAAAGGAGAATGTGGATAGCATTACGGTTCTCCATGAATACTCCATCGAAGTCACGTCAGAAAGTATTTCGTGGAGTCTCGACCGGAATGTTGTCCGAAGGCTCCTCAAATGTGAGTGGATCTTTCAAAATTCTCCGAGTTGTTTCGAACCTGACGGAATTTGAAGCGGAGTGCACAAGGAATGGCTTTTCGCACTATCCATCCCACAGCATGCGCCTTCAGATTGGTAATTATGACTTTTTGTACCCGAACGCTGTGATTTAACCCGCATTCGCAGGTATTTGGGATGCCAGCGAGCACGCAGGAACGGCAGAGTGGGCGGGGGGACCGATTAATTGGAAGAAGGAACCGGCGGACAAGGTCATGGCGACCATCAAGAGCATCAACGTCGAGTGTAGTTCGGGCTGACGAGGAAGATTTATTCTAGAGTTATTGTTTTTTTCTCTCTCGGAGTTCAAGTTGAACACGGTCTTGTTTTGTGATTGAACACGCCGGCGTATACACCCCGATTCCTAGATATTAATTCCTAGAGCTCAGTCCTTCTTGAGACCCATGGCGTCAGTGGCGCGGCTGGAATCAAGCGTTCCAACTGGACCTGGAATAATATATTCTTAAATTGAAACAGCCCGACTCGATATCTGCTGCAGAAAGGGTTTCCATCAGCCATCATCGATTTGTTTACCTGTCAGGTGACCGTGAAGCGCCGCTCACGCGAACGGTCTTAGACCGTCTTGCTCTCAAACCACATACTAGCTTCGAATTTCTTCTTTCTTCATGTTCAACGTAGCACAAGACACGCGATGGTCCTATTCTTCGCCATCTCCTCCCTCTTCCCCGACCGCATATGATGACTCCTCGCCTGCCCCGTCTCCCGATCCAGATCCCGCCGCGTTTTCGAACGACTATGCCGACGGAGAACCGTCTCGCGCGTCACCTCCAATGGACCCGTTTGCAGCGTCCGCGAACAGGGCCTGGATTCCTCCAGAGTACGAGAAGGGCGCGAAGAAATATCGTCAGGTGTCCCCGTCCTCTCCTCCGCGTACCCGCTCCAAGAAACCGCGTTTGCTTGGCCCAGAATCGTCCCTCGAGACAGTTGTCTCCCTCCCTCCTCGTGTATTTGCCCCCCAAACCGAGGAGGAGAAGGAGGCCGCTATATGGGATGCTGCCATTACCAAGCTCTTCGATGCCGGGAACGGGACGGTTTTACTCGAGTGAGTTGCCCGCTTCAAGCTTATTTCGCCGATTAACATGCATATGAGACAATCCAATTTGACTTGCTTCCCAGACAAGTTCATCGATGACCTTTCCAATTTTTACGTGGCCCCGGAGACGGTAGAAAGTCTGAATTCCACCAGACATAGCCCCGTTATAGCACCACGGGAATTTAGTCGTTCAATCACCGCTCCTGCCATTCTCTCTCGTATGCCCGACCGTATTGTCGGCTCCGCCCGTCAAGAGATACGGCTATACCTCGCGGGGAATCAAATCTCGAGGCTACCTGTTCAACTCTTGGGGGTCAAGAAAATGACCATCCTCAGCCTACGTGGGTGTGAATTTCGTGTCGTCCTACGATATAATTCTCATCTAGTTTCAGGAAACAACCAGCTCACATCCTTACCGCCTGAAATCCAGCAATTGCAGAATCTCCACACGCTCAACATAGCTGGAAACCGGCTCGAATACCTTCCGGCAGAAATCCTGGGTATGACTTTGAAGATCCTCACCGTCTTCCCCAACCGCTTCAAGGAGCAGCCGATGGGACGTTCAACCTCATCGAGGCGGCCGTTCCACCGCGAGAAATCCCAAGGGCGCGTCGCCGTCTCCCCTACATCTCGCCCTTCGCAGCGCATTCCATCCCTGGTTGAGCTCTCTCTTCGTTCGCTTTTCTCAACGGGCTCTGCAAATCCGACAAATCATGCGGAGCGGCGGATCGAAAAATATTACGAACTTCCGCTGTGCGAGGCGGATGTCGATCTTGGCTCGTCCGGTTCGGGCAAGAAAGAGTTTCGGCAGGTGATCCCGCCGCATCTCCGTCGCATCCTCGATGCCATTCATCCTGGGAGCGTGGACACAGACGCATCCTGGGAGCCTGTGGACGAGCCGCCGAGCCTCGGGCTGTGTCCTTCCCCTCGCCATCTCCACCGAGCATCCGTGTTTGTTACTCCAGCAGAAGAGCGATACACGTGGGAGACAGTCGTCGCCGGTGTGGACGTCGGCGGTAGCGTGCCGCTGAAATGGCGGGGCTGCCTATGCGGATGCTTGGACTTCTTGGACGCCGAGGTCGAGTTGGAAACGCCGTCAAAGGTTGTTGAAGTGCCGACGGAAATGGATGTTGATGGTGAGCAGCAAGTGGTGACCCGCATGCAGTTTGGTCCCCTCGGTACGGACGACTTCGAGGATGACGGATGACTACAGTATCACACAATTTCAGACTTTCTCGCATGCTATGGATTTGAGAGACATGGGTCAGAAATCTCCAGGCAATTCATACAAACAACCCAGGTACGATGTTTGTAGTGTTTGTCTACGGAACACTCGGCAATTTAACCCTCATGGTGAGGATACTTGTCTTTTGGATTCGAGCACACATAAGTAGTCCCATGTGTTTCCGCCAGATCTTCGATGTTCGAATGCTCTCAGCGTCTTGCGTCCCATACGCCCCGCGTTGAATATTCTTGTCAAATCTCATTCAATGTACGAGCTATTGCGTCAACACTGATGAGACAGGCGCAAATACTTTTGCACAATCTTTCATCTTCAGGTGGAGAAATCAGTTGACTCGATCTAATCGGGACCTTCGACCATTCTATCTGCTCTTCAATTCCGAAATTCATCGCACATATGGTGTGTGAAGCGGTTATCATGCTAAAAAGATACACCGAAGGGGAGTCGAACCCCTGCCGCTTGCTGCACTCTGTTTCACTGTAAATGGAAGGCAAGCATGATAACCGCTTCACCATCGGTGTGAACAAAAACAGTGGTCCTACAGTGGCTATTATAGCGTGTGGATTGTTCTTTGTGACCGTAAAAGATCTTTTTGGCGTCAATGCCACGATCGATCAATTTCGTATCAATTTCCAAAAGCGGACAACGCATTACTCTCTACTTTGTCTGCAATTATCTTTTGTCTCCCGGGCGTTGCCCTTCATCGTGGGACCGAGCTAAAATGCGGTTGCGGTGGCGTTTGGGAGCGCCTTAAAGCTGCTCCTTACCAGCGACATAAATGCAGTTGCCGTTCAGTTTGGCGTATCTCATCTTCACTCCCAAACATGTCCGGTTACCGGGCGAAACAGTCCAGCCTATGAGTAGGGCCAAAGCCACCTCGTCAGATCGTTTCGGTTTTTGGTCCGAGTTACCCTGATAATAAAACAGGACTCCGTCTCGTTGGTCGGCTCGCCTTACAACTAAATCTCTCCGAACCTTCAGGTCCATGGGCAGACTGCGCGCGTCAGCCTCAACGCCCCCCGAACATTTCGAACAGGGACCTGATTCTGACTTGCACTGAATTCGTTCAAGGTTGTCGTAAATATTCAAGCCGACAATGTTCTCATAAAAAATCTTGATCAGTGTCCAAACTCGAGGAGAATATGCACAACTATGCTATCTTGCTATATGAATGAAATACCGTTTCAAAACAAGGAATTACATAAGATACAGGAAGGGTCAGCGAGGAATGCCAGAGAAGTCGTGGGGGGGAGCGAAGATAAATATGCAGTGAGAATGTACGATGTGATGTAAAACATAGAAAAAAATTCATGATGGTTCTCCAAACGTACCCATCTCAGTCACCCCGCCTCCTCCAGTGAACATTGCCTTGAGCGTCTGGTCGTTTCTCTTCTGCCTCACCCGCTCAGCCTCCTCCGCTCCCCCAGTCATCTTGAGCTTCTTCCCCCCAACAAAGTCGGTCAGCTCAGCCTGCAACTCGTCCGATCTGCTCGCGAGCTCCTTCTCTCGATTCTTCTGGTTCGCTTCGATGGCTTTCATCCGTCGATCAGGATCCACAGCCGCACCCCGAATCTCCATCATGACGGTGCTCAAACCGCCGTGTCCTTGTTCAGGAGGCGGGGGACGAAAACCTTTCCTCCCGTTACGACCGACGGAGCCCGGGCCACGGATGCTGATGATCTTTTCGACATGCCCGTAGACCTCCACCAACGCCTTGTGGTCTTCCAGCAAATCCTCGAGGAACTGTTCCTGATGGGTCAGGAATCCCTGCTCGTCGACAATGTTCTGCAGCTCCTCCTCCCACGTCTTCTTCCACATCGGTTTGATCGTATTGATGTGCTCCTTCAAGCTCTCCAGCTCCGCCGCCACACTGCTGATGTCCTTCTTGATGTTTTTGAAGTACAGCGCGTTGGGGGTGATCTGGCGCTTGATCACGTCGTCCTTCACACCCTCGACGGTGTCCTGCAGCTTCTCCACCTCCGTCAGCACGTTCTGGCTCCGACTATCGAGCTTCTTCTTCCCCGTGTCGATGTAGCCTCTTGCCCCGCCGACGTTGGTGCTCGCAAGCTGCTTGACGGACTGTGTCTGCCCGCGAAGCGTTCCCAGCGATTCCTTCGTCGACTTCATAAACTCCGTGTACAGCTGCCGCATAACCCCCAAGTCGCGCCGCAGGTTCTGCACCTCGTCGAACTGGGTTTTGAGATCCGCGACGACGCGCGAAGAATAGTCGGACAGCATAGAGCCGCCGGTGATCTGGGGCTGGAGCGATTGACCGGTGATCTGGGGTTGCATCATGTTCATGGGGACAGCAGGCGCCGGGGAGAATGAACCTTCTCCTCCGACAAAGCGGGAGAGCCGGCGGGCGACGGTCTGGAATTGACGGTCGGTCGGTCTGTTGGGCGCAGGTGTGCTCTCGGCCAATGGTTGTCCAACGATAGTAGGCACATGTATAGACTGCCTGTTGTTGTGAACGGCCGTTTTGAGCTCTTTGATGTCCTGCGACAAATGAGAAATCTGAGTGTCGATATGCTGTTTAATCTGGTCGAGGGCTATAAGAAATCAAAATCAGCAACGAAAAAACGACCCTGAAAAAGAACGCACGCTCGATGTTCAGAGAAAGCAAACACCTGTCCTTGACCTCTTGCATGTCTTCCAGCTCATACTGCACTCCGCTTGATGGATCGCGAATATAAATGGCAGGGAAATTCTCGAGGCCCGGATTGTACGAGAACTTGTCGACGAACAATACCCGAAGCGACGCGAAGGAGAGTCCTTGGTCAATCGCGACCTTCTTCACCTCTCTCCCTAGTTGCAAGAAAACGGTAACTCGGGAGGTATCCTGCGCGGGTTCTGCCGCAGGGACGTCAACGACGGGTTGTTCGAACGCCGCAGACGTAGGAACCACGGGCTCAGGCGTGCGAGATGGAGTTGTAGGAAGAGGAGGTACGGGAGGTGTACCAGTAACTTCTTGACGTCGTTCAGGTGCAGCCACGGGACTACTACGAGACCGGGAACTGCCCCTCCGAAGGAGACTGGGAGGAGGTTCCTCGTCGTCTACCTCTGTCAGAACGGCGAGGTCCCCAGGCGTCAGCGCTGTTCCAGCGGCCAACGACCGCCGATTCGGAGCGCCGAGACCGGTTCGCGTAGATCGCTCCCGCATTGCCGGAGCGCCCGTCATTTTCGATATATTGTAAGTCGAAAAACGCTTGGACGCTCTACGTTCCAACGTGTCGCTCTTTTTCAAAGCAGCAAGCGAGTTTGCCATAGCAGGCGCCTGCAGGGAATCTAAGGGCGTGGGCGGTGTTTCTGGAGGAGGCGGGGACGTCGAGCCGTCGACTTGGTCAGGATCCGGACTTGAAGGTTCCACAACCACGGCAGGGGTGCCCAGCGGTTTATCCACCAATGAATACCGCTTCATGCTCGCTGGAGCGTTTGGTGCAGCAGGGGGGACTAATGCTTGATCGTTCGGGGAGTTGGAGGCAATCTGTGGTTCTTGGAAGCTGTCGGCGGGAGGTGGGTCAATGGGGGGCGGGACGGTCCGCGCCTTACGAGATTGGGAATCGGATTGCGGGAAATATTCAGGCTGTGGAGGTACCTCTGGTTCCGCGAGCGGTTCCGTGATTGTTGGTGCAAATCCTCCGACAAATGGCTGCCCATTGGATGAGCCGTCATTCAGCGACGAACCATTCAGCGAAGGAGAGCCGGGATCCCTCCGTCGACTGGACTGCTGCGTGCTCCTGCGCAACGAGGAAGCACTGTCTCTGTCGCGAAGATTAGGCAGACCGGTGGTTGGCGTTGGAGGAGTGCCGGTCTCGCTAAAATTTGTTCGAGAGAGCTGGGACCGATGAGAGCCCTCCCGACGCGAACGCGAAGAGCGACTCTCGGGTCGATCAGAACTGGAACCAGACTGGACGGAACCAGACTGGTCAGACGAGCGATGCCTATGATCAGAGACTATGCGTCTGTAGATGGATTGCTTGCCACGGAGGCCTTGGAGCAAATTTGTTATTATCTGCCGGACGGTTGGAAGATAAAGTTCGAGGTTATCTGGGGTAGCGTCTTCTGCAAGACATTGCTCCAGAACATTTCGTAGGTCGTCGGGAACGGTCATTAGTTCACTTGAACCACTTGTCAACGATTATCGAATAGACGAGCAGATATGGTACGCACGTCATGTCGATATTGAAGGCCGCGAATGCGGCGACGGCAGCATTAAAGTCGTTCCCCAATCGAACATACACGTCGCTAACGTTGTTCTCGTCGATTTTGAGTAAACTCCATTGTGTGAGCGCCTCGAGTAGTTGTTTGATTGCTACAAGGAGACGGGTGACTGCGGACTCGACGGCAGGCTTTCCTCCAAGTCAGCCAAGTTGCTTGGGTCAGAGAATAAACACACATTTGCGGCGCTTCTGGATCCTCCGCGCTCGCTGCGACCTGAGGAGGACTGGGTGGACGATGACGACTGGTTATTCTCCCGACGCGAGCCGGATCCAGGCGCCGGGTTGGACGGTAAAGTAGACCTAGTAGACATCGGTAGAACACCAAGTCATGGAACAGCTTAGACTGAGGGATTGGTGGGTGTCACACGTCACATTTAGTGACACGCAATTGACGCGCTACTTAATGTCAAATGTCAACCATGCGACGGGCTCAAAACACCGACGCTCTTTCTTTGCCCGCCGAAATCCTTGCAGAAATATTCAAACTCGCTCGTGCTGCACCCAGAGTTGAATCGCAGGTCTGCCGTCTTTGGCGCCATGTCGCGCTGGGATCACCACAACTCTGGACCGACGCGATCGATTACGAGCATGACCACCCTGATTTCGCCAGAGAGCAGTTGCGCCGCTCTGCAAATATGCCTGTGCTAGTCAAAGCCCACTTCCCCATGCATTCCAACCGCGGAATACAGAATCTTCATCTGGCATTGAAAGAATCAGCCGTCCACACCCTCGATTTCCAGGGTCCGCCAGAAATTCTAGACCAAGTATGGCAGAATTTAGACGCAACCTCCCTGAAAACCTTATCCTTGTTCGTTCCTTGGGACCAGATGTTCCAAACCACTCCTTACCCCGGCCCCTCGTTCGAGCTGAATGCTCCTCTTCTCCGAACTCTTTCCTTGTCCAATTTCGTCGCTTGGGACGCACCGATATTTAATAATCTAACGCATCTCCGTCTGCATTTGCAAGACCCCACGTTTGCGCCGTCCATGACCCAGATTCTCGAAATGGTAGCTTCATCCCCTATGCTCACGGAGCTCAACCTTCTTCACGCGATTGAGAACTCTTCGCGACTGCCTGGGCACGAGTCAATTGGCATCGTCCCACTGCCCCATCTTGCGGCATTTTTGCTCGACGACGATATCCTGAACCACATCTTTCTTCTCTGCCATATCGAAATCCCGGCGCACTGCGCACGCACCCTCAAAGTCGAGCATCGGGGTCGGGATGCGCTCGCAGGGCTCAGCCGCTCGATTTCCGCGTCTCTACCACTCGGCGAACTAACCAGGCTTGTTCTCGAGGGC